CCCAAGAGATAACTCAGGTAGGAAAGAAAACTTTTCAATGTGATATATGTGGGAAAATGTTTTATAAAAAGATTAAACTTTCTCAACCTCAGACTACACACACAGGAGAGAAACATGATAAATATGGCAAATGTCAGAAATCTTTTATTAGGACATCATATGCTACTTCATATCAAAGAACATCTACAGGGAGGAAGTTTTATCCATGTAATGAACAGGAGGAATTTTTCTGTCAGAAGTCAGACCTTACTGTGCATCACAGAATTCACACAGAGGAAATGTCCTATGGATTTATTAAGTGTGGCAATGACTTTGATGAAAATTCATTACTCAGCTGTCATCAGAGAATTCACACAAGTGAAAAATCATATGAATGTGATGAATGTAGAAAATTTTTCTACCATAATTCTGCTCTTACTCTATTTCAGAGAATTCACATAAGTGAGAATCCATATGAGCGTGAAGAAAGTCAAATTTTCTACAGTAAGTCAAAACTCAAAAAACATGAGAGAATTCACATTGCTGAGAAACCGTATGAATGTAACAGATGTGGAAAAACCTACCAGAATGCAGACTTCAGCAAGCATCAAAGAATTTATAAGGAATGTGGAAAATGTAACCAAAAGTCAAATCTGAAGACAACTCAGAGAATTCACACAGGTGAGTACCCAAATGAATGTAACAAGTGTGGGGAGGCTTTTAGCCAAACGTCAGCTCTCCACAGCTATGAGAGAATTCACAAAGGCAAGACACCATATGAATGTAAGGAATGTGGAAAAGCTTATAACAAAAAGTCAGCCTTCAGCATGCATGAAAGAACTCACCCAGGTGAGAAGCCCTACAAATGTAATGGATGTCTAAAAGCCTTTAACAAGTCATACGTCAAGATGCATTGGAGTACTCGAATGGAAAAAAAACATTGTAAATGTAAAAAAGGTGGAAAAATTTTAAACCAAAAGTCACATCTCAGCAGGCATGAGAGAATTCACACAGGTGAGAAAACATATGAATGTAAGGAATGTGGAAAGTCTTTTAACCGAAAGTCACACCTCAGCATGCATCAGAGAATTCACACAGGTGAGAAACCATATGAATGTAAAGAATGTGGAAAAGCTTTTAACCGAAAGTCACACCTTAGCAGGCATCAGAGAATTCACACAGGTGAGAAACCATATGAATGTAAAGAATGTGGAAAACCTTTTAACCAAAAGTCACAGCTCAGAATGCATCAGAGAATTCACACAGGTGAGAAACCATATGAATGTAAAGAATGTGGAAAACCTTTTAACCAAAAGTCACAGCTCAGAATGCATCAGAGAATTCACACAGGTGAGAAACCATATGAATGTAAAGAATGTGGAAAAGCTTTTAACCAAAAGTCACACGTCAGCATGCATCAGAGAATTCACACAGGTGAGAAACCATATGAATGTAAAGAACGTCGAAAAGCTTTTAAGCAAAAGGGAATCCTCAGCATGCGTCAGGGAACTCACACAGGTGAGAAACCATATAAATGTAAAGAATGTGGAAAAGCTTTTAACCAAAAGTCGATCCTCAGTAGGCATCAGAGAATTCACACAGGTGAGAAACCATATGAATGTAAAGAATGTGGAAAAACTTTTAGGCAAAAGTCTAACCTCATCATGCATCAGAGAACTCACACAGGTGAGAAACCATATGAATGTAAACAATGTGGGAAAGCTTTTAACCGAAAGTCAAACCTCAGCATACATCAGAGAATTCACACTGGTGAGAAGCCATATGAATGTAAAGAATGTGGAAAAGCTTTTAACCAAAAGTCGACCCTCAGCATGCATCAGAGAGTTCACACAGGTGAGAAACCATATGAATGTAAAGAATGTGGGAAAGCTTTTAACCGAAAGTCAAACCTCAGCATGCATCAGAGAATTCACACAGGAGACAAACCATAGGAATGTAAGCAGTGTGGAAAAACTTTTAAGCAACAGGCATCAGAATTCACACAGTGAGACCCCATATGAATGTAAGGAATATTGAAAAGCTCTAAACCAAATGTCAGCCTTCAGCGTGCATTAGAAAATGCACCCAGGTGAGAAACTGTATGAATGTAATGAATGTCAAAGAATGTTTAGCTACAAGTCATACTTCAGGATACATCAGTTTACTCACAAACACAACAAATATTATGAATGTAAAGAATTTGGAAAAGGTTTTAACCAAAAGTCAATCCTCAGGTGGCATCAGAAAATTCAAACTAGTGAGAAGGCCTACAAATGTCATAAATGTGGAAAAACCTTTAAAAAGAAGTCATCCATCTTGGTGCATCAGAGTACTCACACTGTAAAACTAAAAACCTTATGAATGTAAAAAACATGGAAAAATCCTTTAATTGAAAAAGTCCAACCATCAGCATGCCGCAGAGAATTCATACAGCTGAGAAACCCTATGAATGTACTGAATGTGGAAAACTTAAAAAGTCACACGTTAGAAGACATCAGGATATGCACACAGGAAAAAAATAATTATGAATGGAACAAATATGATGTCTTTTATTGGAACTCCCCTTAATTGACATAAAAGAATGTCGGGCCTTAAAAACTAATGCCACCTTAAGTGACATTACAAGTGGATTAGTGTGGCAGCCTAAGACGGCGCTGGGAGGAAGTAGGGTGGGAGTGTCTGTGGGAACCTTGCCTTAGGCCTTATTGGCTGCACTCGTGAACACTGCGTGATTGCGATAGGCATTGAGACAGGAACCCTTAAGCTGATTGGAGGATGTAAAAAACCTGCCTTTCCCATTTGCCTTTAAAAGCAAGTGCTTGTGTGCTAATAAACGGAACTGCTTCGACAGAACACCTGCCGCGTCTGAGTGTCCTTTACTGGGGCTGTTTGGGGGGCCGGCGGTGTGCTCACCTCTCTTCACGGCTGTCTTTCCCCGTCTCCTTCCAAAGGGGACAGGAGGGAAACAGGAATCCCAGGCTCTTTGCTCGCCCACCCAAAGGAACGAGGCTAGGGCTGTGTGGGTCGGCCGGCAGTGGACCCGACAAAAGAATTCACGCAGGGGAAAATCACAGTGAATGTAATTTGTATGGGAAAATATTGTGCCAGAAGCCACACCTCAAGATACATCAGATAACCTACATTTAAGGACACCTATAAATACGTTCTTGTTTTCAGGTATTGGGGAATGTTTTGAGGATTCCCGATTGATATAAAAATTTGCTGATGCTCGAGTCCCTTCTTCAAATGGTGCAGTGTTTGTGTCTTATCAATTCATGTCCTGCCATGTACATTACTTAAGATGTTGGGGAAAATGTGAGTACTCTGCAAATATTTGTTGTAGTGTGTTGTTTATTTGTAGAATTGTTTCATTTATTTCATAATTGTATTTTTTTTTTCCTTTTTGTCTTTTTTACTGACCGGTAACGGGATCGCAACCCTTGGTGTCGAGCCCGTACTGGGGACCGGCCACGGGATCGCAACCCTCGGCGCTGCGTCCGCACTGCGCTCAGCCAGTGAGTGGGAACCGGTCTCCACATGGGATCCGAACCCTCGGCGGGAGCGCCGCTGCGGTCCCAAGTGGTGCACTCTCTAGTGCGCCACCAGGCCGGCCCCATAATTGTATTTTTTAAAGATTTTTGATAAGTAATAGGTTGACTAACCAGATGTGTAATACTCGTGGAAGGAGGACTGTAATGAGTGTGAAATCATCTTTTCTCCAAAGTCTCAAGGCCGGCTATTGTTAGAGCATTATAGCATTGTGTTGCTTATAGCATTGTGCTCATGACACAGTCATGCCCCCATCATTACAATCATCCCCATACCAGCCACTCATGAAAAAATAAATGAAAATAGAAAATGAGTCACATCATGCAGGCATTAGGAATTTTCACAGTGGGGAAATTCGGCATGGATTAGACTGGCTATGTGTTTTCTAAATACAACCACTCTTTTCTCTTGTATGCATAGCCTGCAATTTGAGCCTTCTGTGATTGGGTGGATGACCATCTAATTTGGCTCTGTTCAGCGGAATATAGATATAAGTGATGAGCATTACTTCCAGGCCAGGCAAGGAAAAAAAATGCCATGCAGTTTTTCCTGATTTCTCATGTTCCCTGGGACTGAATGAAGATGACTCCTGGGTGGAGCTGGGGTCCACAGGTGGGAAAAATCCACCCTAACTTAAAATAGAAGGAATTGAAGAAACCAGAGATATTCCCAGCTCTATCCCCAAACCTCCATTTATACATTATATAAGAAATTCTTCCTTTGTTGAGCCATTCCATGTGTGCTTTGTTTGTATTACAAAACAACCAGCCCACTGTACCTAATTGATTTTACAAACTCTGAGCAGTTACCAGTCCTTGTATATGGGAAGAGAATCCTGTGTTGTCACCTTTTATAACCAAATCAGTATATGGGAAAATCAAATTATGGGGAGATTCAATGCAGTAAATATGGGACATCGTATCGGGCAGGGACACCTCATTGAATAGTTAAAATATAGTTAAATATCCATCTAATCTTTAATGTGTCAAAGCTTTCAAGAAAACATTCAATGTGTTTTTTGTCAGAATTTGAAGTGAAAACTATCAATTTTATATAATGAATGTAAATTTTGAAA